GTAGGGATGCTCAACGTATCGTACTATAAAACCTAAACATAGGAATGAAATTTTGTCAGCTATGTGAGATGTCCAATAAAGAGAAATTCCGTAAATTGTAGAATAGAACCTACGTCTGAAAACAGACGAAAGGTAAAACATAATTCAAATACTTTACTTTTAGCCTTGAAGCAGGTATTCTACATTAAACTGTATTAAACTACGTTAAACGTATAGCAGTATCTTCAAGGATTCCATTTAATTTGTTTACTGCTAGAATTTCATTTATACATTCATCCATCAACACCGGAAAGAATTTATCTGCTACTTTAAACAATTTCCATCGACTGAAAATGAAGTTTAAAAATCTTACAAATCTCAAAAGCAAAGGATGCCGAAGGATTTTCACATATGGAAGACAGAGAAGTCAAACAATGAATCAGAAAATTACAAAAGAAGAATTGGAGTGCTTATAAAACCCCTTGATAATAAAAGCGCTCATTACGAAGAAGAGCTTTTAACTAAAGATAAGATAAAGGAATTGTTAAATAACACAAAAGCAACATCTGATCTTTTAGCGGAGATTGACCCAATTAAAGAAAAGAACAGGACACTTTAAAAGAACTAGTGGGAAACATGTGCTCTTTACAGCGACACGGTTACAGTTGCATCAGTCGTTATTATAAGGAAAAGACATCAGCATTGTCAAAAAATAATTCTGTCATGCATTTGCCAACAGAAGGGTAAGAAGTCCAAAAGAAACTTTCAGAGTGCTCTTCGAAACAAAGTTGAAAGTTAATCTGCAGAATTTTACTTCGATAATAATAAAACATCTCTGATTTGATTTCAAAATGAATTTTTATTTATGGAACCAATTTTAAATAGATCTTGACAAATTGGTTCATTAAAACTTCACAATATGCCAAAATAGTTCATATTAAGGGGAAAATATAATAAAGTATGCTTAAAACAACTAAGAAAAAGAAAAAGCACATTTTGAGCAGCCTTAACAGAAGACAATTTGGCTCCACTAACTTTCTTTACGAGTACTCATTAAATTTTTATTTACATTTCTTTTTTGTTCAACATTTAACTTTCAATGGTTTTAAGAGAAACAGCACTTGATAGAGAGACTCTAAATTCGGAAAAAGCTGAAACAAAATTCGTTTTTATACACAGGCAGTGCAATTAAACTGACCTGTTGGGGACAGAAGACCCCGTTGGACAGGGAAAACATTAGGCCACACAGAGAGGAAAATGTTTAGCCTCCTCCTCGTAATGCAAAAGGAGGCCACTTGGGAAAAATTACACTACAGCAGTAATTTTGAAACCACTACAAAGCAACAGAACTCTGAGAAATCTCAGACTTCTGATAATTACAGTGTGATTAACAGTTCCACCTCACTTCCAATATTACAATACAATATAATGAAAGCACCAATTCAGACACTTCAATATGGAATTCAAAACTTAAGAAATTAATGCATAAATGCTACCCTAAACATTAAAACATAATGTGAAGCATTCATGTAACTAGTAAAACTCCAATATAAAGCAACATGTGAAAAGGGACATACAAATTATAAAATTCAAGCATTTCTAGTGGAAATAAAGTTAATATAAAACAAGAATTACCAGCCACAGATGTCTTTTTGCTCTGCACTATTTCTCCGTTCTTTTCAACTTCGTTTTTTTCTTTGATGATATCATGTTCTGCAATCCAAGAGTGCACAAAAATGATGACAAATTACACTAGAAGAGGCCAAGGTGGGGGAAAAGGAATCATTAGATTTTAACTACTTTGAAATTAAAGAATAATTATACACAAAGAGAAATATCTAATATTGTTTCTTAATATATAAAACATCAAAAGTAGCCTTCTTTGTTTTAAATTCTAGCAACGTGCTACATTGTTACTAAAATCATGACTGCAGTCGACAGAAAAGCAAATGATTTTCCTAATATGACAGAAGTACAGTAAACGAAGGGGGTTTTTAATGTATGGGTACAACATGAACAATGAAAGAAAAAAAAATTAGACAGTTATTATGGATACACAGAATAAAAAGGGATAATGATCTTCGAGAAGAGTAAATAATTTCAGCGCTAGTAGAAAGATGGCACCAAAAGACAATAAGCAGGTAATTTTAAATGACAAAATAAACTTTACTGTTAGCTTTGAAGCAGTTGTTATATATTAAACTATCTTAATTCACACACAGAATTAGTGACATAACAGATCAAAAAAGAGTAAGAATCAAACTCGCAATATATTAACATTAAAAGAGTTATACATATAAACTTTTTTAGATTTTTTTTTAGAAAGGGCTCAAAAACACCATTCTAAAAACAGATTTCGAAGAACATCTTGGAAACAAAGTCATAAACCATAAAAGAAATATTTCATTCAGAATTTTAACGTAAGAACCGTTTCTAATTTTAAGTTCTTTACTTAGGTACTGTCATCCAGGAGAGAGGAACACTTAGTCCAATGTACAAGAAATTATCCTGAAATATTACCACGTCACTTTAATGAAATTATAGCAATATTTCACTCAGGGAAAGAACATATTGCCTAGCTGCCCTGGTTCGAGCCCAGCTCTAATACAGCAAGCCGAAACACATCAAATGCCATTGAATGATACAGCATTTTGAAATGATGCAAAAAATTTAAAAGCAATTTCATGGAAGAGCTATTGTAATTACCTACATACTAACATTTTGACCAAAAATTAAAGAAAACTAAGATACTCTTTTTCTTTCGAAGGAATCAAAGTCATATACTAATGTAGGGATGCTCAACGTATCGTACTATAAAACCTAAACATAGGAATGAAATTTTGTCAGCTATGTGAGATGTCCAATAAAGAGAAATTCCGTAAATTGTAGAATAGAACCTACGTCTGAAAACAGACGAAAGGTAAAACATAATTCAAATACTTTACTTTTAGCCTTGAAGCAGGTATTCTACATTAAACTGTATTAAACTACGTTAAACGTATAGCAGTATCTTCAAGGATTCCATTTAATTTGTTTACTGCTAGAATTTCATTTATACATTCATCCATCAACACCGGAAAGAATTTATCTGCTACTTTAAACAATTTCCATCGACTGAAAATGAAGTTTAAAAAATCTTACAAATCTCAAAAGCAAAGGATGCCGAAGGATTTTCACATATGGAAGACAGAGAAGTCAAACAATGAATCAGAAAATTACAAAAGAAGAATGGAGTGCTTATAAAACCCCTTGATAATAAAAGCGCTCATTACGAAGAAGAGCTTTTAACTAAAGATAAGATAAAGGAATTGTTAAATAAACACAAAGCAACATCTGATCTTTTAGCGGAGATTGACCCAATTAAAGAAAGAACAGGACACTTTAAAAGAACTAGTGGGAAACATGTGCTCTTTACAGCGACACGGTTACAGTTGCATCAGTCGTTATTATAAGGAAAAGACATCAGCATTGTCAAAACATAATTCTGTCATGCATTTGCCAACAGAAGGGTAAGAAGTCCAAAAGAAACTTTCAGAGTGCTCTTCGAAACAAAGTTGAAAGTTAATCTGCAGAATTTTACTTCGATAATAATAAAACATCTCTGATTTGATTTCAAAATGAATTTTTATTTATGGAACCAATTTTAAATAGATCTTGACAAATTGGTTCATTAAAACTTCACAATATGCCAAAATAGTTCATATTAAGGGAAAATATAATAAAGTATGCTTAAAACAACTAAGAAAAAGCACATTTTGAGCAGCCTTAACAGAAGACAATTTGGCTCCACTAACTTTCTTTACGAGTACTCATTAAATTTTTATTTACATTTCTTTTTTGTTCAACATTTAACTTTCAATGGTTTTAAGAGAAACAGCACTTGATAGAGAGACTCTAAATTCGGAAAAAAAGCTGAAACAAAATTCGTTTATACACAGGCAGTGCAATTAAACTGACCTGTTGGGGACAGAAGACCCCGTTGGACAGGGAAAACATTAGGCCACACAGAGAGGAAAATGTTTAGCCTCCTCCTCGTAATGCAAAAGGAGGCCACTTGGGAAAAAATTACACTACAGCAGTAATTTTGAAACCACTACAAAGCAACAGAACTCTGAGAAATCTCAGACTTCGGATAATTACAGTGTGATTAACAGTTCCACCTCACTTCCAATATTACAATACAATATAATGAAAGCACCAATTCAGACACTTCAATATGGAATTCAAAACTTAAGAAATTAATGCATAAATGCTACCCTAAACATTAAAACATAATGTGAAGCGTTCATGTAACTAGTAAAACTCCAATATAAAGCAACATGTGAAAAGGGACATACAAATTATAAAATTCAAGCATTTCTAGTGGAAATAAAGTTAATATAAAACAAGAATTACCAGCCACAGAGATGTCTTTTTGCTCTGCACTATTTCTCCGTTCTTTTCAACTTCGTTCTTTTTCTTTGATGATATCATGTTCTGCAATCCAAGAGTGCACAAAAATGATGACAAATTACACTAGAAGAGGCCAAGGTGGGGGAAAAGGAATCATTAGATTTTAACTACTTTGAAATTAAAGAATAATTATACACAAAGAGAAATATCTAATATTGTTTCTTAATATATAAAACTTCAAAAGTAGCCTTCTTTGTTTTAAATTCTAGCAATGTGCTACATTGTTACTAAAATCATGACTGCAGTCGATAGAAAAGCAAATGATTTTCCTAATATGACAGAAGTACAGTAAACGAAAGGGGTTTTTAATGTATGGGTACAACATGAACAATGAAAGAAAAAAAAAATTAGACAGTTATTACGGATACACAGAATAAAAAGGGATAATGATCTTCGAGAAGAGTAAATAATTTCAGCGCTAGTAGAAAGATGGCACCAAAAGACAATAAGCAGGTAATTTTAAATGACAAAATAAACTTTACTGTTAGCTTTGAAGCAGGTTGTTATATATTAAACTATCTTAATTCACACACAGAATTAGTGACATAACAGATCAAAAAAGAGTAAGAATCAAACTCGCAATATATTAACATTAAAAGAGTTATACATATAAACTTTTTTAGATTTTTTTTTAGAAAGGGCTCAAAAACACCATTCTAAAAACAGATTTCGAAGAACATCTTGGAAACAAAAGTCATAAACCATAAAAGAAATATTTCATTCAGAATTTTAACGTAAGAACCGTTTCTAATTTTAAGTTCTTTACTTAGGTACTGTCATCCAGGAGAGAGGAACACTTAGTCCAATGTACAAGAAATTATCCTGAAATATTACCACGTCACTTTAATGAAATTATAGCAATATTTCACTCAGGGAAAGAACATATTGCCTAGCTGCCCTGGTTCGAGCCCAGCTCTAATACAGCAAGCCGAAACACATCAAATGCCATTGAATGATACAGCATTTTGAAATGATGCAAAAAATTTAAAAGCAATTTCATGGAAGAGCTATTGTAATTACCTACATACTAAACATTTTGACCAAAAATTAAAGAAAACTAAGATACTCTTTTTCTTTCGAAGGAATCAAAGTCATATACTAATGTAGGGATGCTCAACGTATCGTACTATAAAACCTAAACATAGGAATGAAATTTTGTCAGCTATGTGAGATGTCCAATAAAGAGAAATTCCGTAAATTGTAGAATAGAACCTACGTCTGAAAACAGACGAAAGGTAAAACATAATTCAAATACTTTACTTTTAGCCTTGAAGCAGGTATTCTACATTAAACTGTATTAAACTACGTTAAACGTATAGCAGTATCTTCAAGGATTCCATTTAATTTGTTTACTGCTAGAATTTCATTTATACATTCATCCATCAACACCGGAAAGAATTTATCTCCTACTTTAAACAATTTCCATCGACTGAAAATGAAGTTTAAAAAATCTTAAAATCTCAAAAGCAAAGGATGCCGAAGAATTTTCACATATGAAAGACAGAGAAGTCAAACAATGAATCAGAAAATTACAAAAGAAGAATTGGGTGCTTATAAAACCCCTTGATAATAAAAGCGCTCATTACGAAGAAGAGCTTTTAACTGAAGATAAGATGAAGGAATTGTTAAATAACACAAGAGCAACATCTGATCTTTTAGCGGAGATTGACCCAATAAAAGAAAAAACAGGACACTTTAAAAGAACTACTGGGAAACATGTGCTCTTTAGAGCGACACGGTTACAGTTGCATCAGTCATTATTATAAGCAAAAGACATCAGCTTTTTCAAAAAATAATTCTGTCATGCATTTGCCAAGAGAACGGAAAGAAGTCCAAAAGAAACTTTCAGAGTGCTTTTCAAAACAAAGTTGAAAGTTAATCTGCAGAATTTTACTTCGATAATAATAAAACATCTCTGATTTGATTTCAAAATGAATTTTTATTTATGGAATCAATTTTAAATAGATCTTCGCAAATTGGTTCATTAAAACTTCACAATATGCCAAAATAGTTCAGATTAAGGGAAAATATAATAAAGTATGCTTAAAACAACTAAGAAAAAGCACATTTTGAGCAGCCTTAACAGAAGACAATTTGGCTCCACTAACTTTCTTTACGAGTACTCATTAAATTTTTATTTACATTTCTTTTTTGTTCAACATTTAACTTTCAATGGTTTTAAGAGAAACAGCACTTGATAGAGAGACTCTAAATTCGGAAAAAACTGAAACAAAATTGGTTTATACACAGGCAGTGCAATTACACTGACCTGTTGGGAAGAGAAGACCCCGTTGGACAGGGAAAATATTAGGCCACACAGAGAGGAAAATGTTTAGCCTCCTCCTCGTAATGCGAAAGGAGGCCACTTGGGAAAAAATTACACTACAACAGTAATTTTGAAACCACTACGAAGCAACAGAACTCTAACAAATCTCAGACTTCTGATAATTATAGTGTGATTAACAGTTCGACCTAACTTCGAATATTACTATACAATATAAAGAAAGCACCAATTCAGACACTTCAATACGGAATTCAAAACCTAAGAAATTAATGCATAAATGCTACCCTAAACATTAAAACGTAATATGAAGCGTTCACGTAAAATAACTAGTAAAACTCCAATATAAAGCAACTTGTGAAAAGGGACATACAAATTATAACATTCAAGCATTTCTAGTGGAAATAAAGTTAATATAAAACAAGAATTACCAGCCACAGATGTCTTTTTGCTCTGCACTATTTCTCCGTTCTTTTCATCTTCGTTCTTTTTCTTTCATGATATCATGTTCTGCAATCCAAGAGTGCACAAAAATGATGACAAATTACACTAGAAGAGGCCAAGGGGGGGAAAAAAGGAATCATTAGATTTTAACTACTTTGAAATTAAAGAATAATTATACACAAAGAGAAATATCTAATATTGTTTCTTAATATATAAAACTTCAAAAGTAGCCTTCTTTGTTTTAAATTCCAGCAATGTGCTACATTGTTACTAAAATCATGACTGCAGTCGATAGAAAAGCAAATGATTTTCCTAATACGACAGAAGTACAGTAAGCGAAAGGGGTTTTTAATGTATGGGTACAACATGAACAATGAAAGAAAAAAAAATTAGACAGTTATTATGGATACACAGAATAAAAAGGGATAATGATCTTCGAGAAGAGTAAATAATTTCAGCGCTAGTAGAAAGATGGCACCAAAAGACAATAAGCAGGTAATTTTAAATGACAAAATAAACTTTACTGTTAGCTTTGAAGCAGTTGTTATATATTAAACTATCTTAATTCACACACAGAATTAGTGACATAACAGATCAAACTCGCAATATATTAACATTAAAAGAGCTATACATATATACTTTTATAGATTTTTTTTTTAGAAAGGGCTCAAAAACACCATTCTAAAAACAAATTTCAAAGAACATCTTGGAAACAAAAGTCATAAACCATAAAAGAAATATTTCATTCAGAATTTTAACGTAAGAACCGTTTCTAATTTTAAGTTCTTTACTTAGGTACTCTCATCCATGAGAGAGGAACGCTTAGTCCAATGTACAAGAAATTATCCTGAAATATTACCACGTCACTTTAATGAAATTATAGCAATATTTCACTCAGGGAAAGAACATATTGTCTAGCTGCCCGGGTTCGAGCCCAGCTTTAATACAGCAAGCCAAAACACATCAAATGCCATTGAATGATACAGCATTTTGAAATGATGCAAAAAATTTAAATGCAATTTCGTGGAAGAGCAATTGTAATTACCTACATACTAAAATTTTGACCAAAAATTCAAGAAAACTAAGATACTCTTTTTCTTTCGAAGGAATCAAAGTCATATACTAATGTAGGGATGCTCAACGTATTGTACTATAAAACCTAAACATAGGAATGAAATTTTGTCAGCTATGTGAGATGTCCAATAAAGAGAAATTCCGTAAATTGTAGAATAGAACCTACGTCTGAAAACAGACGAAAGGTAAAACATAATTCAAATACTTTACTTTTAGCCTTGAAGCAGGTATTCTACATTAAACTGTATTAAACTACGTTAAACGTATAGCAGTATCTTCAAGGATTCCATTTAATTTGTTTACTGCTAGAATTTCATTCATACATTCATCCATCAACACCGGAAAGAATTTATCTGCTACTTTAAACAATTTCCATCGACTGAAAATGAAGTTTAAAAAACTTACAAATCTCAAAAGCAAAGGATGCCGAAGGATTTTCACATATGGAAGACAGAGAAGTCAAACAATGAATCAGAAAATTACAAAAGAAGAATGGAGTGCTTATAAAACCCCTTGATAATAAAAGCGCTCATTACGAAGAAGAGCTTTTAACTAAAGATAAGATAAAGGAATTGTTAAATAACACAAAAGCAACATCTGATCTTTTAGCGGAGATTGACCCAATTAAAGAAAGAACAGGACACTTTAAAAGAACTAGTGGGAAACATGTACTCTTTACAGCGACACGGTTACAGTTGCATCAGTCGTTATTATAAGGAAAAGACATCAGCATTGTCAAAACATAATTCTGTCATGCATTTGCCAACAGAAGGGTAAGAAGTCCAAAAGAAACTTTCAGAGTGCTCTTCGAAACAAAGTTGAAAGTTAATCTGCAGAATTTTACTTCGATAATAATAAAACATCTCTGATTTGATTTCAAAATGAATTTTTATTTATGGAACCAATTTTAAATAGATCTTGACAAATTGGTTCATTAAAACTTCACAATATGCCAAAATAGTTCATATTAAGGGAAAATATAATAAAGTATGCTTAAAACAACTAAGAAAAAGCACATTTTGAGCAGCCTTAACAGAAGACAATTTGGCTCCACTAACTTTCTTTACGAGTACTCATTAAATTTTTATTTACATTTCTTTTTTGTTCAACATTTAACTTTCAATGGTTTTAAGAGAAACAGCACTTGATAGAGAGACTCTAAATTCGGAAAAAGCTGAAACAAAATTCGTTTATACACAGGCAGTGCAATTAAACTGACCTGTTGGGGACAGAAGACCCCGTTGGACAGGGAAAACATTAGGCCACACAGAGAGGAAAATGTTTAGCCTCCTCCTCGTAATGCAAAAGGAGGCCACTTGGGAAAAATTACACTACAGCAGTAATTTTGAAACCACTACAAAGCAACAGAACTCTGAGAAATCTCAGACTTCGGATAATTACAGTGTGATTAACAGTTCCACCTCACTTCCAATATTACAATACAATATAATGAAAGCACCAATTCAGACACTTCAATATGGAATTCAAAACTTAAGAAATTAATGCATAAATGCTACCCTAAACATTAAAACATAATGTGAAGCATTCATGTAACTAGTAAAACTCCAATATAAAGCAACATGTGAAAAGGGACATACAAATTATAAAATTCAAGCATTTCTAGTGGAAATAAAGTTAATATAAAACAAGAATTACCAGCCACAGATGTCTTTTTGCTCTGCACTATTTCTCCGTTCTTTTCAACTTCGTTCTTTTTCTTTGATGATATCATGTTCTGCAATCCAAGAGTGCACAAAAATGATGACAAATTACACTAGAAGAGGCCAAGGTGGGGGAAAAGGAATCATTAGATTTTAACTACTTTGAAATTAAAGAATAATTATACACAAAGAGAAATATCTAATATTGTTTCTTAATATATAAAACATCAAAAGTAGCCTTCTTTGTTTTAAATTCTAGCAACGTGCTACATTGTTACTAAAATCATGACTGCAGTCGACAGAAAAGCAAATGATTTTCCTAATATGACAGAAGTACAGTAAACGAAGGGGTTTTTAATGTATGGGTACAACATGAACAATGAAAGAAAAAAAAATTAGACAGTTATTATGGATACACAGAATAAAAAGGGATAATGATCTTCGAGAAGAGTAAATAATTTCAGCGCTAGTAGAAAGATGGCACCAAAAGACAATAAGCAGGTAATTTTAAATGACAAAATAAACTTTACTGTTAGCTTTGAAGCAGTTGTTATATATTAAACTATCTTAATTCACACACAGAATTAGTGACATAACAGATCAAAAAAGAGTAAGAATCAAACTCGCAATATATTAACATTAAAAGAGTTATACATATAAACTTTTTTTAGATTTTTTTTTAGAAAGGGCTCAAAAACACCATTCTAAAAACAGATTTCGAAGAACATCTTGGAAACACAAGTCATAAACCATAAAAGAAATATTTCATTCAGAATTTTAACGTAAGAACCGTTTCTAATTTTAAGTTCTTTACTTAGGTACTGTCATCCATCCAGGAGAGAGGAACACTTAGTCCAATGTACAAGAAATTATCCTGAAATATTACCACGTCACTTTAATGAAATTATAGCAATATTTCACTCAGGGAAAGAACATATTGCCTAGCTGCCCTGGTTCGAGCCCAGCTCTAATACAGCAAGCCGAAACACATCAAATGCCATTGAATGATACAGCATTTTGAAATGATGCAAAAAATTTAAAAGCAATTTCATGGAAGAGCTATTGTAATTACCTACATACTAACATTTTGACCAAAAATTAAAGAAAACTAAGATACTCTTTTTCTTTCGAAGGAATCAAAGTCATATACTAATGTAGGGATGCTCAACGTATCGTACTATAAAACCTAAACATAGGAATGAAATTTTGTCAGCTATGTGAGATGTCCAATAAAGAGAAATTCCGTAAATTGTAGAATAGAACCTACGTCTGAAAACAGACGAAAGGTAAAACATAATTCAAATACTTTACTTTTAGCCTTGAAGCAGGTATTCTACATTAAACTGTATTAAACTACGTTAAACGTATAGCAGTATCTTCAAGGATTCCATTTAATTTGTTTACTGCTAGAATTTCATTTATACATTCATCCATCAACACCGGAAAGAATTTATCTGCTACTTTAAACAATTTCCATCGACTGAAAATGAAGTTTAAGAAATCTTACAAATCTCAAAAGCAAAGGATGCCGAAGGATTTTCACATATGGAAGACAGAGAAGTCAAACAATGAATCAGAAAATTACAAAAGAAGAATGGAGTGCTTATAAAACCCCTTGATAATAAAAGCGCTCATTACGAAGAAGAGCTTTTAACTAAAAGATAAGATAAAGGAATTGTTAAATAACACAAAAGCAACATCTGATCTTTTAGCGGAGATTGACCCAATTAAAGAAAGAACAGGAAACTTTAAAAGAACTAGTGGGAAACATGTGCTCTTTACAGCGACACGGTTACAGTTGCATCAGTCGTTATTATAAGGAAAAGACATCAGCATTGTCAAAACATAATTCTGTCATGCATTTGCCAACAGAAGGGTAAGAAGTCCAAAAGAAACTTTCAGAGTGCTCTTCGAAACAAAGTTGAAAGTTAATCTGCAGAATTTTACTTCGATAATAATAAAACATCTCTGATTTGATTTCAAAATGAATTTTTATTTATGGAACCAATTTTAAATAGATCTTGACAAATTGGTTCATTAAAACTTCACAATATGCCAAAATAGTTCATATTAAGGGAAAATATAATAAAGTATGCTTAAAACAACTAAGAAAAAGCACATTTTGAGCAGCCTTAACAGAAGACAATTTGGCTCCACTAACTTTCTTTACGAGTACTCATTAAATTTTTATTTACATTTCTTTTTTGTTCAACATTTAACTTTCAATGGTTTTAAGAGAAACAGCACTTGATAGAGAGACTCTAAATTCGGAAAAAGCTGAAACAAAATTCGTTTATACACAGGCAGTGCAATTAAACTGACCTGTTGGGGACAGAAGACCCCGTTGGACAGGGAAAACATTAGGCCACACAGAGAGGAAAATGTTTAGCCTCCTCCTCGTAATGCAAAAGGAGGCCACTTGGGAAAAATTACACTACAGCAGTAATTTTGAAACCACTACAAAGCAACAGAACTCTGAGAAATCTCAGACTTCGGATAATTACAGTGTGATTAACAGTTCCACCTCACTTCCAATATTACAATACAATATAATGAAAGCACCAATTCAGACACTTCAATATGGAATTCAAAACTTAAGAAATTAATGCATAAATGCTACCCTAAACATTAAAACATAATGTGAAGCATTCATGTAACTAGTAAAACTCCAATATAAAGCAACATGTGAAAAGGGACATACAAATTATAAAATTCAAGCATTTCTAGTGGAAATAAAGTTAATATAAAACAAGAATTACCAGCCACAGATGTCTTTTTGCTCTGCACTATTTCTCCGTTCTTTTCAACTTCGTTCTTTTTCTTTGATGATATCATGTTCTGCAATCCAAGAGTGCACAAAAATGATGACAAATTACACTAGAAGAGGCCAAGGTGGGGGAAAAGGAATCATTAGATTTTAACTACTTTGAAATTAAAGAATAATTATACACAAAGAGAAATATCTAATATTGTTTCTTAATATATAAAACATCAAAAGTAGCCTTCTTTGTTTTAAATTCTAGCAACGTGCTACATTGTTACTAAAATCATGACTGCAGTCGACAGAAAAGCAAATGATTTTCCTAATATGACAGAAGTACAGTAAACGAAGTGGGTTTTTAATGTATGGGTACAACATGAACAATGAAAGAAAAAAAAATTAGACAGTTATTATGGATACACAGAATAAAAAGGGATAATGATCTTCGAGAAGAGTAAATAATTTCAGCGCTAGTAGAAAGATGGCACCAAAAGACAATAAGCAGGTAATTTTAAATGACAAAATAAACTTTACTGTTAGCTTTGAAGCAGTTGTTATATATTAAACTATCTTAATTCACACACAGAATTAGTGAAATAACAGATCAAAAAAGAGTAAGAATCAAACTCGCAATATATTAACATTAAAAGAGTTATACATATAAACTTTTTTAGATTTTTTTTTAGAAAGGGCTCAAAAACACCATTCTAAAAACAGATTTCGAAGAACATCTTGGAAACACAAGTCATAAACCATAAAAGAAATAAAAGAAATATTTCATTCAGAATTTTAACGTAAGAACCGTTTCTAATTTTAAGTTCTTTACTTAGGTACTGTCATCCAGGAGAGAGGAACACTTAGTCCAATGTACAAGAAATTATCCTGAAATATTACCACGTCACTTTAATGAAATTATAGCAATATTTCACTCAGGGAAAGAACATATTGCCTAGCTGCCCTGGTTCGAGCCCAGCTCTAATACAGCAAGCCGAAACACATCAAATGCCATTGAATGATACAGCATTTTGAAATGATGCAAAAAATTTAAAAGCAATTTCATGGAAGAGCTATTGTAATTACCTACATACTAACATTTTGACCAAAAATTAAAGAAAACTAAGATACTCTTTTTCTTTCGAAGGAATCAAAGTCATATACTAATGTAGGGATGCTCAACGTATCGTACTATAAAACCTAAACATAGGAATGAAATTTTGTCAGCTATGTGAGATGTCCAATAAAGAGAAATTCCGTAAATTGTAGAATAGAACCTACGTCTGAAAACAGACGAAAGGTAAAACATAATTCAAATACTTTACTTTTAGCCTTGAAGCAGGTATTCTACATTAAACTGTATTAAACTACGTTAAACGTATAGCAGTATCTTCAAGGATTCCATTTAATTTGTTTACTGCTAGAATTTCATTTATACATTCATCCATCAACACCGGAAAGAATTTATCTGCTACTTTAAACAATTTCCATCGACTGAAAATGAAGTTTAAAAATCTTACAAATCTCAAAAGCAAAGGATGCCGAAGGATTTTCACATATGGAAGACAGAGAAGTCAAACAATGAATCAGAAAATTACAAAAGAAGAATGGAGTGCTTATAAAACCCCTTGATAATAAAAGCGCTCATTACGAAGAAGAGCTTTTAACTAAAGATAAGATAAAGGAATTGTTAAATAACACAAAAGCAACATCTGATCTTTTTAGCGGAGATTGACCCAATTAAAGAAAGAACAGGACACTTTAAAAGAACTAGTGGGAAACATGTGCTCTTTACAGCGACACGGTTACAGTTGCATCAGTCGTTATTATAAGGAAAAGACATCAGCATTGTCAAAAAAACATAATTCTGTCATGCATTTGCCAACAGAAGGGTAAGAAGTCCAAAAGAAACTTTCAGAGTGCTCTTCAAAACAAAGTTGAAAGTTAATCTGCAGAATTTTACTTCGATAATAATAAAACATCTCTGATTTGATTTCAAAATGAATTTTTATTTATGGAACCAATTTTAAATAGATCTTGACAAATTGGTTCATTAAAACTTCACAATATGCCAAAATAGTTCATATTAAGGGAAAATATAATAAAGTATGCTTAAAACAACTAAGAAAAAGCACATTTTGAGCAGCCTTAACAGAAGACAATTTGGCTCCACTAACTTTCTTTACGAGTACTCATTAAATTTTTATTTACATTTCTTTTTTGTTCAACATTTAACTTTCAATGGTTTTAAGAGAAACAGCACTTGATAGAGAGACTCTAAATTCGGAAAAAAGCTGAAACAAAATTCGTTTATACACAGGCAGTGCAATTAAACTGACCTGTTGGGGACAGAAGACCCCGTTGGACAGGGAAAACATTAGGCCACACAGAGAGGAAAATGTTTAGCCTCCTCCTCGTAATGCAAAAGGAGGCCACTTGGGAAAAAATTACACTACAGCAGTAATTTTGAAACCACTACAAAGCAACAGAACTCTGAGAAATCTCAGACTTCTGATAATTACAGTGTGATTAACAGTTCCACCTCACTTCCGAATATTACAATACAATATAATGAAAGCACCAATTCAGACACTTCAATATGGAATTCAAAACCTTAAGAAATTAATGCATAAATGCTACCCTAAACATTAAAACATAATGTGAAGCATTCATGTAACTAGTAAAACTCCAATATAAAGCAACATGTGAAAAGGGACATACAAATTATAAAATTCAAGCATTTCTAGTGGAAATAAAGTTAATATAAAACAAGAATTACCAGCCACAGATGTCTTTTTGCTCTGCACTATTTCTCCGTTCTTTTCAACTTCGTTCTTTTTCTTTGATGATATCATGTTCTGCAATCCAAGAGTGCACAAAAATGATGACAAATTACACTAGAAGAGGCCAAGGTGGGGGAAAAGGAATCATTAGATTTTAACTACTTTGAAATTAAAGAATAATTATACACAAAGAGAAATATCTAATATTGTTTCTTATATATAAAAACTTCAAAAGTAGCCTTCTTTGTTTTAAATTCCTAGCAATGTGCTACATTGTTACTAAAATCATGACTGCAGTCGATAGAAAAGCAAATGATTTTCCTAATACGACAGAAGTACAGTAAGCGAAGGGGTTTTTAATGTATGGGTACAACATGAACAATGAAAGAAAAAAAAATTAGACAGTTATTACGGATACACAGAATAAAAAGGGATAATGATCTTCGAGAAGAGTAAATAATTTCAGCGCTGGTAGAAAGATGGCACCAAAAGACAATAAGCAGGTAATTTTAAATGACAAAATAAACTTTACTGTTAGCTTTGAAGCAGGTTGTTATATATTAAACTATCTTAATTCACACACAGAATTAGTGACATAACAGATAACAGATCAAAAAGAGTAAGAATCAAACTCGCAATATATTAACATTAAAAGAGTTATACATATAAAACTTTTTTAGATTTTTTTTTTAGAAAGGGCTCAAAAACACCATTCTAAAAACAGATTTCGAAGAACATCTTGGAAACAAAAGTCATAAACCATAAAAGAAATATTTCATTCAGAATTTTAACGTAAGAACCGTTTCTAATTTTAAGTTCTTTACTTAGGTACTGTCATCCAGGAGAGAGGAACACTTAGTCCAATGTACAAGAAATTATCCTGAAATATTACCACGTCACTTTAATGAAATTATAGCAATATTTCACTCAGGGAAAGAACATATTGCCTAGCTGCCCTGGTTCGAGCCCAGCTTTAATACAGCAAGCCAAAACACATCAAATGCCATTGAATGATACAGCATTTTGAAATGATGCAAAAAATTTAAAAGCAATTTCATGGAAGAGCTATTGTAATTACCTACATACTAAAATTTTGACCAAAAATTAAAGAAAACTAAGATACTCTTTTTCTTTCGAAGGAATCAAAGTCATATACTAATGTAGGGATGCTCAACGTATTGTACTATAAAACCTAAACATAGGAATGAAATTTTGTCAGCTATGTGAGATGTCCAATAAAGAGAAATTCCGTAAATTGTAGAATAGAACCTACGTCTGAAAACAGACGAAAGGTAAAACATAATTCAAATACTTTACTTTTAGCCTTGAAGCAGGTATTCTACATTAAACTGTATTAAACTACGTTAAACGTATAGCAGTATCTTCAAGGATTCCATTTAATTTGTTTACTGCTAGAATTTCATTTATACATTCATCCATCAACACCGGAAAGAATTTATCTGCTACTTTAAACAATTTCCATCGACTGAAAATGAAGTTTAAGAAATCTTACAAATCTCAAAAGCAAAGGATGCCGAAGGATTTTCACATATGGAAGACAGAGAAGTCAAACAATGAATCAGAAAATTACAAAAGAAGAATGGAGTGCTTATAAAACCCCTTGATAATAAAAGCGCTCATTACGAAGAAGAGCTTTTAACTAAAGATAAGATAAAGGAATTGTTAAATAACACAAAAGCAACATCTGATCTTTTAGCGGAGATTGACCCAATTAAAGAAAGAACAGGAACACTTTAAAAGAACTAGTGGGAAACATGTGCTCTTTACAGCGACACGGTTACAGTTGCATCAGTCGTTATTATAAGGAAAAGACATCAGCATTGTCAAAACATAATTCTGTCATGCATTTGCCAACAGAAGGGTAAGAAGTCCAAAAGAAACTTTCAGAGTGCTCTTCGAAACAAAGTTGAAAGTTAATCTGCAGAATTTTACTTCGATAATAATAAAACATCTCTGATTTGATTTCAAAATGAATTTTTATTTATGGAACCAATTTTAAATAGATCTTGACAAATTGGTTCATTAAAACTTCACAATATGCCAAAATAGTTCATATTAAGGGAAAATATAATAAAGTATGCTTAAAACAACTAAGAAAAAGCACATTTTGAGCAGCCTTAACAGAAGACAATTTGGCTCCACTAACTTTCTTTACGAGTACTCATTAAATTTTTATTTACATTTCTTTTTTGTTCAACATTTAACTTTCAATGGTTTTAAGAGAAACAGCACTTGATGATAGAGAGACTCTAAATTCGGAAAAAGCTGAAACAAAATTCGTTTA